ACCTTTCCTTTGCCTTAGACGAAATCTTCTTTCTTCCAGTCTAAATGCATGGCCTCGTGTCCTATGTAAAGTCCGGTTTGTGAATAGATTTCCACACAATGGTTTGTATTGGCCCCGAATATATTTGTATAATGTTATCATATCCCCTCTCAGGCGACATTTTTCTAAAATAAATAGGTTTAAATTTGTTAACCTTTCTTCATAGCCGATATGTTCCATTCCTTTTATTAATTTTGTAGCCCGCCTCTGCACTTTTTCTAGTGCCATAATATCCTTCTTTAGAACAGGTGCCCAAAATTGCACAGCATATTCAATATGTGGTCTTACCAGTGATTTATAAAGAGGCACAATTATATTCTCGTCTCGAGAATGAATGTCCTTTTTAATGCATGACAATACCTTACTGGCCTTGGCCACTGCTGATTGACATTGCACATTGTTGCATAGCTTGTTGTCTATAACAATTCCTAAGTCCTTTTTGTGTGTTGTTATCCCTAATTCGCTTCCATTAAGGGTATACGTTGCTTGTGTATTCTTTACGCTGAAGTGCATAACTTTGCATTTTTCTACATTAAATTTCATCTGCCATTTGAGTGCCCAGCCCCCCAGTCTATCTAAATATCTCTGCAGCATAATGCTGGTAAGCATCATGGGAGATGCAGTCCACAGCATCTGGAGTGACGAAGGTTGCCTACCCGTGCTATAAGGCTTGTTTTCTTTGATTGGTTGAAAAGCTTTGATTAGTATTGAATGAAGGTACTGGTATACGTCACCATACTGGTTTGGCATTATGCAAGAGAGCTGTAGAAGGGATATTATAGAATTAATGAATTGAGACAATCCGAAAGAAAGATACAAAATTTGCATTTACACTTTTCTAGAATCCAGTTGCAACTGCACTTGACCACAAAGTTTTACTGCGAATGGTTAATTCTGCTCATTACCTGGAAAATTCTTCTTTTACCATGGAGCCCAGAGGGCTCTTCTTCGATGAAAGAACCCACAGGTTCAAATGCATTCATAATAGCTAATATTTTTAACAAAAGAAAGATATATTTCAGACCAATTAATAATATTTATGGTGCCATAATCTTGCTGAATATGAAACGTTGTGCAATAACAATAATCCTGTAGACTTGATCAACAATCAGTAATACCTTACCTGCCATTGAATGCTGGAGAGTCAGGAGATGCATGTCCTACAATTTGACTGGTATTAATGTTTCTGTGAATTTTTTGTATTTGTCCTAGGGGCTCCAGATGTGATGGTTGATAGTGGTGTATAGGTCCATTCCAGGGCCGTCTATAATATGATTAGGACCCTGGGCAATGCATTTTCTTGGGCCCCATGGGCCCTGTCCCTGCCACTGCCTCACCCCCCAATTATGTCCAACCCGCAATCACACTGACAGACGTACTGGCACATACACACACAGACAGACATTAAAACATTCACAGATACATACTGACACACAAAGTCACTACACACAAATATATACTGGCAGCCATACTGACACACACACAGACATACATACATACACAGACACATGCATTAACAGATATACTGACACACACACAAACACATACACTGACAGATATACTAAAATACACAGACACATACACTGACAGACACATTGACACAAACACACAGGCATACTGACATATACACACACACACACACACACAGGCATACTGACATATACACAGACAGACGTAATGGCTGATACAGACAGACATTAAACATTCACAGATATATACTGACACACACATACGCTGACATACAAATATATCCTGGCAAACATACTGACACACACACACAGACATACATACATACATACACACAGACACATACACTGACAGACATACTGACTGACACACACATACACACACAGACATACTTACATACACACACAGACATACTGACACACACAGACATACTGACATACACACAGACAGACGTACTGGCACATACGCACAGACAGACATTAAAACATTCACAGATACATACTGACACACAAATATATCCTGGCAGACATACTGACACACACGTACACACACACACACACAGAGACATACCTACATACACACACAGAGACATACTGGCATACACACAGACATACTGACACACACACGCTTTACACACAGACATACACACACAGACATACTGATACACACACAGACAGACCTACTGACATACATTTAGCCACCCTCCGGGTTCTTACCTTTTCCTGGAGGGTGATTTCCCTGGTCCAGTGGCAGGCTGAGGCAGATGGGAGTTCTCTTCTTGAACTCCCCTCCTCCCTGCCTTCCTCCTCCCGCGCGGCTATCTCCGGTGGGAGGAAGTGACGTCACTCCTCCCAGCCGGCTGCAGAACCGGAAGAGGGGCCCGGTCGCGCTGTTTAAGCGCCACAGCGCCTGACCGGGCCCCTGCTGACACATGCTCCCCGGGTGGCCCTTAGTGCATGGGCCACCCGGGGAGCCTCCTCAGTGTGCGGGAGCCGCAAATCGCGGGGCCCACAGAGCAGCTGCTCTGGGCCCCCAGGAGCAACTGGGCCCGGGGCAGCTGCCCCGTTTGCCCCGCGTTAAAGACGGCCCTGGTCCATTCCCTTGGCAAAGAAGTGCCATTAGTCTTGACATTTACCTCAGTCATAACCATATTAAGAATCCTACACCTATTAATATGTTCTGCCGATTTTCTGAGAATGGGAGTTGGATAATTAAATTGAGCACAGGAAAAGGGGTATGAGACTCACTCATTGTTTTCATTGGTAAGTTACAAGACTTCAGGATAATGTAGACCACCATAAATTGTATTATTAGGCACTTTGCGAACCATTACTTTTTAAATATCACCTCCTCCTTACACCATATGAATCACTGGGGGATTAGTTTTTTATGGATGCCCAATGAGGGTGTCCTCTATCTATTTAAGGTTGCTGCAGATGCCCTTACAATTAATCTAGCGCAGCATAATTTTCAAAGACCCCATGATGGTGCTTGTTCTGCTGGAAGTGCAGTGCACGAGGAGTGCTGGAGAAGGTGAGCTATATTTACCTGAACCTGTCCATCGCGGCTGATACCAACGTCTTCCTGCTGGTCCTCTTTAGCTCCTTCAGTTGTCAGGAGACAACATCAGCCTGGTACTCTTGCTTATGTGCAAGAGTACAAATCTGAAGGTCCATGAGGACACATAGACACAGCCTTTTCCCCCTCAGTCATGAGGGCTTGACAAAAGGTAGCTCTGTCGTTTGTCAATCAATCTCTACTTTGTCTTAGTATATCTTTTGACTGGGTTGAAATTTCGATGAAATTCCAACACAGTCAATGTGAGAATGACATAAAGATAGTGTGAAGAAATGCCCCTTTTATACTGTATATGCACTCTTTGTATTTGTTTGTCAATAGCAATGTTTCCCTATGGCATTCGGTAGGTAAAACTACCGAATGCAGACCACCCTGTTACCCCTTTATACAGACTGTACCCCCTTGCTGGCTGGATTACGTTCGGCAGAAGTTTTGCACGAATGGCAGGTCTCGCCACCATTTCGGGACTTCCTCGTGTTCGCGGCCATTTTAGCTCCCGAACAGCGGTGTTTGCCATTGAATGTCTGGAACTGAAAACGGACACTCAAACAGGCGAACACCGCTGAAGCCTCCAGACCTTCGGTAAAACCCCTTCCAAACTACCGAACGACCGGGCGTTCAGTAGAAAGACTTACCAACAGATGGGGAATCAAGCGAACCAAGGATGGTTGCTGGATGGCTGGCCGTTCGGGAGGTTTTTCATGCGATCTAAGACCGACTGCAGGGCCAGAATTCATGGAACTGTTTTTGGCTACTTTGCCCGTGCAGTCGGTCAAAACTTCTAAGTCCTATATCTCCCGAACGGCTGAACCGAATGGACTGAGTTTTTAATATGTTGGTCTCCCAGACAAAAGTCCTTGGGGTACATCCAAACTTTGGGGAATTTCTGTTACGTTTTAATTGTGTTTAATGGTTATCTGAGGGGAGGAGATGTACAGTATGTATATTGTTAGGATTGGATGTATGGCTAATTATATGGGAGGCTCCCTTGCATGGTCTGAATTCCATAAAAAGAGCATGCCTGTCATTAAACCTTCAGTTCATCTTTGTACCCTTATTCTGACTACGTATGCTGTTTGGGAGTTCGTGTGTTCTACTGTGGGAATTATCCAGGAACACTATTGGATTTACAATTGGGAATTCGTCTACTATAACTACCGAACGGAGGGCTATATTCACTGGGCTGTTCGGGAGGAAACTACCAATTAAGGTTTAAATGTACTTGATTTCCTTACAGATGTCATTATGTAATTTATGAAATGCTCATTCTGGATTGGCGTGTGTGTGTGTGTGTGTGTGTGTGGGAGGGAGGCTTGGTAGTGCTGCTTTAATTTGTGAATGTGTGTAATATCAATACTGAAGGAATTACGTTAGAGTGTGCTTGGGAGTTGAGGGTGATTTATCTTGACAGGTTCTTCAGGTGTTGCCTCTAACTACAATCTCTGGATGAGAGTTTTTCTTTCTTTCCAATAAAATTTTATGGGAGCAAAACTTAATGGCTGGTGGGTGCTTTTACTACACGTCAGGGCATTTTAAAGGGGGTCACTGAATAGTAAAACTGACTACGGTAAATTCATTGTGGGTGGTTTTTTAAGACTGAAGGAGATAAACTCTGCTAAAATAACTTTTTAGTTTGAATAGGATAAGAGTGGAACATTTAGAAGGTTACCTCTCTAAAATACAATTTAAAAACTCCTTTTTCTTGACTTCTATTCAAAAAAGTATACCAATAACTTCACTCTGCGTGTTTTTTGTCAAGTACAAGGACGACAATTACTTATATATATATACCTTTTGCTGTCATGTATAAATATAGGCCAGCTATTAGCTGATTACATTCATTTCACAAATTTATAGTGCACAATGAAAAACAAAAGTACAGTTTTCTTTCAACCAGATATACACGAGACATGATATTAAGAGCACATTGCAAATATTTATTACAAAGATACAGAAGGATTAATAAATATTATTGCGCACAGAATGATATTAACATAACATAAAATGGCATTTCTTTCAAGAACAGTAAAACATAATTATGGCTTGTTTTAATGGCTATATCAAAATAGAGGTGGTGTTAATCTGACAAGTGTACTGCATTCATTTCTAAAAAATTAAGCATTGACCACACCTTTTCCTTAGTATTAGGAGAAAAATTCAAGTAGGTCTAAAGGGAAACTGTCACGTACAGGATTGAATAATACGTTGAATATCAGCTAAAATAAATTTTAACCATTTTTAATGTGATGCTCCATTTTCTCTTAAATGTATATTAAAGCTATGGAGGATGGGATATCACAATCCAAGTCAGTTCTGGCACAACCAAGGCATACAATGTATATGAAGAGGAGAATAATATGTATCTATTCTGTTTGGCACACTTAAGACTGCCTACCTTATATTTTACATTAATGGTTAAGCCCATAAACATTGTTTGTTTCACCATGTTCAATGGCAGAAATGGCAACATTTATAATGATGATTAGTGATGTCCCGAACGGTTCGCTGAACGGTTCGCCACGGACTCATCATTGAGTAAACTTTGACCCTGTACCTCACAGTCAGCAGACACATTCCAGCCAATCAGCAGCAGACCCTCCCTCCCAGACCTTCCCACCTCCTGGACAGAATCCATTTTACATTCATTGTGAAGTTGAATTCTTAGTGAGCTGTCCAGGAGGTGGGAGGATCTGGGAGGGAGGGTCTGCTGCTGATTGGCTGGAATGTGTCTGCTGACTGTGAGGTACAGGGTCAAAGTTTACTCAATGATGAGTCCGCGGCGAACCGTTCGGCAAACCGTTCAGGACATCACTAATGATGATTGATAGGGAGCCAAAATATGGATGAGTCCAGTTACAGGATTGGAATAAATAGAGCAGCATAGATTTCTACATTTAATTTTATTTTCATGACCTCAAAAAATGATATTTGCTGTAAATAGCTGATAAGTAAACATAATATAAAAAATCCTGCAAAGTTACAGTTCCACTTTAAAAAAATGTGAGGATCCTATAAGTGCCAAAATGAATTCCCAGAAGTATCTCATTCTCTTTCAGGCAGCTAAAGTTAATATAACGTTGACTTATGGACATCCACATTGAATTGGTTGCACGTATTAAATTGCAACTTCATGGAAATCAAGTTTGACACATATTCAAGCATTGTAAAAGTCTGAAATATTGTTAGAAATATTACTTTCTGTATGCAGTATACTTTTAAGATAAGCAACACATACATATTTCGATATGACCATTAAAACATAAATTTTTTATTCTTCTGTACCTATAAGGAAACAGACATTTTTATTCAACATGAATGTTCATAAAATACATATTAGAAACAAAATGTGTTTGTAAAAGTGGTATAAACCTTTTTAAATCAATTGGTGCAAATCTACATTGTTTGATATAGTGGTTTGTACAGAGTAGTATCGTTGGACAGTTGATTCGGGAGTATTTAATGGGTCCAGACTTGGACTACAAGTTCTAAAAAAACCACAGCTGCCAATTTTCACACATAATAAAAAGCAGGTATAAAAATAATGTCTGTGGAATCCCCCATCTTGCCCCAGCTCTACCAGGGAATCTGGTTTACAAAAACATGTCTAATTGCTCCTGTAGTCAAATATACTCTCACTGCAAACCTTCTGAGCCTATTAAAGAAGAACAATGCGTTTACAATGCTGATATCACAGGCAGGGTTATAAACTAAAGACTAATTGTTTGGAATTCAAAATGAAATTTAAATTTTTAGGACAAAATAGCTAAACTAGAAACAGATGATTTTTCCAATTTAACTGATGTGCGATAACATTTTTTATAAATCCCGTCTAATTCATATTCTATACCTGATTATTCACACTTTTGTGAATAACTCTGACAGATTCCTGTTTGTAGAACAAGTTACAATCAAGGACATCATGCCATCATTCAGAAATACAAGGTTTTTTAGTGACTAGGATTTATACTAGTACCCTAGCTGCCAACTGGTGAAAAGCAAAATGGCAGCTCCCAGTAACCTTATTTTGTTCATTTTAGCTATTTCAATTAATCCAAACACACAAAAAAACAAACAAAAACCCAGTGGCATGAGACACTCTACACATTTTACGAGGAAAATAAGCCAAACCCTTGTGGCCGGCATCATTTACCTTAAAGTGCCACAACTTGTTAAAAATAAGTTTAGAAACTTTTTGGAGACACACATTTTCAGAACATACTTAACATCTTCAAAAATATCTTTTTATTCTGAAAATAACAGATTTAAGGTGACAACAGGATCTCCTATAGTGGATGTTCTGTTTCATTAAAAATCACAATAGGAGATCTTACAGATCTGTTAAGTATTCTGTTTTAGCGTAAAGTAAATTATTTATTAAACTTGGCCATATATTTTTTTTCATAATGTGTTCCATGCTAAGTATAGGAGATACTACTTTACCTTATGGCCTCTCTTTCTGTAGGCACAGACAGGATCGGTCAAATTGTTAATTACCTTACAACAATATTCCATTTCTCCATTTTAATTTTTCTGATGTGCAGTCAGCTACAATTCTGAAATTGCAACTAGGGAGACTACTATACTACAGTAAACATAAAATAGTCACTATAGTTACATTAATTTTACTAATTAAATACTGTGAAAACATAGAAAGAAAATAAAGCTTGATTTTGATAAACAATTGTATCATGCTACAAACAAAATATTAACAGAGTTAATCTAACATGATGCACATTCGTGGTTCACATGCAACTGTGTGTCTCTCTCTGGACTAGAAGTGACATAAGATTTTATGCTGAGAGCAAACGCCTACTGATAATGACCAGCTTTGTGGCAGGCAAATGCAATGATGCATATATATTTTTGTTAAAGGGACAATATAGTCACCAAAACAACTTTAGCTTAATGAAGCAGTTTTTGTATCTAAATGATGCCCTTGTAGTCTCACTGTTGAATTCTCTGCCATTTAGAAGTTAAATCACTTTGTTTATGTAGCCCTAGTCACACCTCCCTGCATGTGACTTACACAGCCTTCCTAAACACTTCCTGTAAAGAGTAATCTAATGTTTACACTTCCTTTCTTGCAAATTCGGATTTATTCAGAATTCCTTATGTCCTGCTCTGTTAATAACTTGCTAGATCCCGCAGGAGACTCCTGCACATGATTAAAGTTCAATTTACAGAGCAGGAGGTAAAAACTTAAGCTCTGATTGAAAATGAAACAATTTTGTTTTCATGCAGGCTGTGTGAGTTACAGCCAGGGGAGGTGTGGTTAGGGCAGCATAAACAGAAACACAGTGATTTAACTCCTTAATGGCAGAGAATTGAGCAGTGAGACTTCAGAAGCATGATCTATATTCTAAAACTGTCCCTCTAAAAGTATTGATTCTATGAAAGATGCAAATGTTATTTTAAACCATTGTGGCTCTTGGAAATTCAATAGTAAATACAACATAAATGTATAGAACATCACATTTTGGAATAACTGTTGTTAATGGTATAGTGCAGGCTCTACCACGGTAGTTTATCTCCCATTCAAAAAAACACAACAGATTCCACATTTATTGATTGTCCCAAATAAAAAAGTTATCTTTAAACACATTGCAACTATCCGAACTAGCATAAGAGGGAGCCATTGAGAATAAATCAAGTCAAAATGAAAAGGGAAAAGGAGAATGGACACATTTTTTTTGAAAACATACTTAACATATAAAAAAAATAGTTTTGAAAGCGCTTTTAAAGAAGACCACTCGAGCAAGTGGTTTGCAAATTACAGACGGAATGTGGAAGAGTGAAAGGCAATACGCTGTTTTACTTAGAGTGTATTAGATGTCCTCCTGAAGTGGTTAAATAAAAAATGTTAAGGAAGTTAAAAAAATATTGGCGTGTGAGTAAGAATTTGTGAAAAGAATATGTGTGAGGTTTCAAGGTGGACAGGAAAATGTGCAGACCAGATGGGATAATTACTTCTCACTTGTCATGACCTATGCTTCAATAGATGTTGTGTAGATTCATTTTTATATTTTATTTAATTCCAAAATATCTGCAAGTGCATTAATTGCCCTGACCCTATTTCTACTCATTAACTTGAGCTCCGTTGCCTCTAGAAGAGGCATAGAACATCACATTAGGATATTACTTGCATATTATGGTGTAGCCCATTCTTTTCCATGTAATTAATGGTTCTTTTTGGGCTCTGCGCTGAAAACCTGGATCTCATAACCACAGTCCAACCAGAAAGCCATGTTGCATTGTAACAGGCCTGTCATTGTCTTTGGTGTGAAAAATACAGCCAACAGATATGGAAATAGAGCTTTCTTTTTAGTCCTGAAAATTCATTGTGACTCCTGATCAAGGCAATATAGTCTTCATTGTAAAGGGCGAACTTAAAGACATTTTTTTTGCAAATGTTACAAGTCCTTCGTCTTTTGTTTCCATAAAGTGGTGCTTGGTGGAAAACTGGTAATACCATTATTAGGACAAAATTACAGCTGTGTGTTTCAAGGAGTCAATAACATTGTAATTGCTTGAAGTCTCGAAGAGATAATGAAAAAAATACATATTTGTGCTTCTCTTACAAGTTTTTTTTTTTTTTGCAAACTTTCCCAATATTCCCAGATATTTTCAAAGGCTTATCCACTCATTTCCAACCATTCATGTGTATTTTGTTCAGGTAGGTGTCCAAAAAAAACCCCTTCACGTAACAGTAGTGGTCTTAAGGCTAGTGAAATCCCAGAGTTACAGTAATGAAGGCACTGTCTTACTGAAAGTCAATTAACAACTATAAAATGTCTTAAGAGTGCACACATCATGCATATTCCAACACACCCAAACAAACTCTGGGACTATTCAAGTAAAAAAAAAAAACATTACTGTGTTGGAGACTGTTTTTTCTTTCAGTTTTTTGGTTTGTTTTTTTTAAGGCAACGAAAAAAAGCTCTTCAATGAATATTCGTAGAGTTTCTGGCCAGCTCCAACTCATGACATCGTCATGACTCAGGTACATTCACAAAGCGAACTTTGTAGAAAAATAACTGTTTATCTCGTTTCTTAACTCCAAAGCATTTGGGTTATTGATCAAGCCTCCACTGTCTTGTTGGTTAGTTGCTGCGTGTCATCTGTAACATCTTCCTGTTGAGGAGGTCGTGCTCTATCAAAGAAACCACACTGTAAACGAAAAAACAAAACAATACAAAACGTTAGTAAAACTTTAATTTAAAGGGGGACGTTCAAGCAAATATGTTTTTGTCAGGTGTGAAAAACAGAATTAAATGTAGAAATCCCCACACATACAATGAAATTGTGTGCATCCATTTTGGCCTCCTGTCAATCACCACTGTAAATGTTGCCCTTTGGATACAGTTGGTGGAAAAGGAGAAACCAATACAATGTATTTTCTATTTCCTCCACATTTGCATTGCGTGCCCTGGCTGAGCCTGAACTCAACTGGATCGTTGACTTGCGAACATTTTTTTAATATATTTAAAAATAAATGGAGCATTGCATGAAAGAAAGATTAACACTATCTATAGGTGATTTTCAATGATTTATTTAATAATATAATTTTCAGAAAAGTGCTAACTTTGGTTTAAATGTTCATTTGGAATGGATCGTTAGCCCCCTTAACCCACTGAGTGCCAA